GCTATCTTGTTACAGAAAAGAAATTTTCATAAAGGGTATCACACGAGAGGAACACCATCAAATCTCCACACAGCCAGTCCATTCGCAGGGAACGGAACTCGTGACGAATTATCAATATTCAGCTATCTTACAAACTTGGCTAACCGAGAGTTATAAGAAGATTTATGTATCGAAGCTGTAAAAAGAATTATGCGATACAAAATAATAAAGATTAAAAATGAAAAGAAAACAAATTGAAAGCTTTCAGATTTTATACGCCCCCAAAGAGGCGTTTTTTTAACGTGTTATGTGCTCCCTTTATTGCTTAAATATGATGTTCTTCGCACTTAAACCACATAAAATTCAATTTCAACAGCAATATCACAAATTATTTAAAAACAACATATCTTTACAATTTCCGACAGACAGTCACGCGCGTTGGGATTTTATCTGTACAATGCTGTCATAGCTCGCAGAGAAATCTTTGAGTTTGTTAATCAAAAATTCGTCAAAGTTTTACAAAATGTGAAATAGGTAATAAAACAAATTCTAAATTCAAATGCGGGCTTACAGGTGTCCATGTTCGGGCGGAGGATTACGTTATTAAAAATTGATGGCTCTAGGTACCGTAGCTTTATCACAGTACAAGAACCATACCTACATTCATGCAGATTCTTCATCATTTTATTTTTTTAAATATAACACTGGGCGATAATATTTGGTGGCAACAATTTAAAATGTGATACGCTGTCTATAGTGAAACGACGCAAAATGCCGTTTTTTGACTAATAACCCTTCTGGGCTCCTTTGGGCTAAAAATAAATATTTCAGCTAAAGTTAGAGAGTTATTTTATTTACCCTATTGACTCCCCTTCGGGGGTCGACGTAGAGAACCTACTGCCTAGGATCTGTACCTGTATTTGGCCACGCGGGTATACAAATCACGAACGTTGTGGTTCTGGAGACCCCGGAAAGATAACTTATCGGTCGGCCCGTGGGTTTGGTAGGTCCTACAACAAAGGGCTATAGTAGCCCGGGGTGGCGTTCCAGGTTGTTCTTGGGGTGATGTCCCTCTGCAACGGGCAGCCCGAGCGACTGTCAGGTAGCAAATCGTAGACAAAAGCAATGCGTCGCTCTTTCCAAGGTGCGAGGGCTGGAGTTGAACCCCTGTGCCTTGTTCGGCGAGGCGAGGGAACTCTTTAGTGTCATTAAGCTGACGGAAAGAGGAAGTCCATAATTATGTTATGTTATGTTACCCTTTTGACTGTATTATTGATATTATTATATTTTTAGATGTAGGAGGTAAATTGATAGTGAATCTATCTTAAAGTACACTCACGAATTGCATGTATAGATAAATGATTTTATTGCAGTTGTATGTGTAATGGATGTCTTTTTCTGTATAATAGAAAGAAAATCTACAGAGAAATATTTTCTGCCAGAAAAATAAGAATACAGGTGCAACTATATTTACATTCAGTAAATGGCTATCTCGCGAAATCGGCGAGCTATTGCCAAGCTGGCAACAGTTTTGGCAATTACTTTTAGTCGCCATATTTGGCGAGGTCTTGTCCCTGTATAACTGTAATGCATATAATTGAATAACTGTAACTGATTCTTTGTGTAACTGTATTCGGCCTTCAAATATCTTCAAGTAATTTCGAGAAGCAGAAAATAATAGAAATATCTCGGTAAAAACTATATATGACAGGGGAGAGCATTAGTTTCTCAGTTGTAGTTGTGAGTTTTTAGGTCCGAGCGACTTCAGATTATTGAGATATCCGAGAAAACATTACCTTTTAGATGTGCTTTGCTTTGCGTTGTGTTTAACATTCCTAGTAGTTTGCAGTGTAACTACTAATTGTACTCGGTGATACTGTGAACACTTGTATGAGTATTTCTGTGAAAAGTTCCAGAACTCTCAATTGTTTCTTTTGATAAAATTTATTTTATCAACTTATCATCGAGCCTGTGTGCACTCAATCTATTACGAACTCGTACGCACTTAACACTATTTTGCATGCTGCGAAGGAATTTTATTTGAAGTCGTGCACTGGATATACTTTACAGCATACGTAAACCAATTCCAGCAAAATTTACTCGGTAGATATTAATTTTGAGAGGAAAGTGCTTGGACCATTAACGCAGAAAGCGTATGTAATTGAATTTTGAATCACTTTCAGTCCATTAACTTTTCCTGATTCTTATTAAAAGCTTTGAAATAATCTAAGGCTTACTCGCATAGACGGAAAAAAGGATATTCACTTTAATTATTACCTTAATAACATTCTAGTAATGGGTACTTACTCATAAAATTCAGAGTGCACTGATCGCGAGTATTAGTAGCATGTACGTATTTCATTACGAGCACTTCACATACGAAAGTGAATAGCTGCTAACATCTTATCTCCATAAACTCTTTTAGAAGCTCATATTTTAAATTTCTTATTATATTGCTCTAGAAACAGCATTTAAAAAATATATGATAGATAAATATATACGTAGTTTATGTTCTTTACATGTTAAGTAAATTATCCAAATGGGAAAGGGACTGCAAGTTTAAAATAATCAGAAAGGTAAAGGTAGTAAATTTTCACAAGTGTATCACATGTGAATTTTTGTATTTGCAGATGAAAGTTTTTTAGTGCAAGATATGCAACAATTTAATTCTTTTTGGGGAAACGGAAATTAAAGGGCAAAATTCAAATTTTCATTTGTGAAAGGCACTCGAAATGAATTTGCTAAAAATAACTTATAACTGGTTATAAAGAACTGCAGTTTTAAGAATGGAATTGAATAAGCATATAGTTAAACTTTTAGAGAAGATTTAGCTAAGATTAGATAGCATGGAGACTGTCGTTTTATGTTGTGCCAAACGATCAATATAAAAAGCAATTTTCAGTTCGGAGCTTAAAAAATAACCCTTTTTTATATGCCGAGGAAAATGATTTAGACGTGTTACTCTACTTTCTTAAAGGACGGGGGAAATAGCATTTCACGCATTTTGCACTCAATGCGGTATTTGCGATGGCTTTTTAATTAAAATCTACTGAAATACTAATACTGAAATATTAATTCTTATCTACGATAACTTTTCAAATAATAAATATCAAGGCTTTGTGCATAAGTTCACAAAATATATACTCAAAAATTATGCATGAGATATGAGCCCTCTTGATAGGAAATGACATTTTCATTCATGTATATAAAATCACCCTTTTCTGTTATTCAACATCAACATAATTAAATTAGACCGGCTATTACTATCGGAAGCTGTTTATTATTGGCTAATACTTTCAACGGATTCATGATTATCATTCTGAGCTATTATGGATTATTAGCGTTATTGTTTAGTTGATTATGAGCTAAATTATAACTGCGTACCATTGCTAAAATTCTGTCTATTTAAGAACTAAGCAGAGAGCTAGAGAAATAGATTGACTATCAACAAAGAATAATTCAATAAAAATCTAGAAGTATTTAATGTACGTAAATTTTATTTGTTTCTGAAACTTAATAACCCGAATCGGCGTTAGCCTAGATGGGTTATTAGTCTCAAAACGGCATTTTGTGTCGAATTACTATAAACGGCTGCATCACTTGTCAAATCGTTGCCATCAAATATTTAAAGAACTAAATAATGAAGAATCTACATGAATGTACGTATTTTTCTCGAATTGTGAAGAATCAACGGTACCTAGATTCATCAAATTTTGAATATCATAGACCTCCGCTAGAACAGGGGCACCTGGAAGCCCGAATTTGTTTTATTCTCTATTTCATACTTTGTAAAACTGTAACGAATTTTTGTTTGAAAAACTCGACCATTTCAAAGCAAGCAGAGAGAACACTGCTGGGAATGAAGCAGTTTTATCTCAAGTGCGCGAGACTATCTATCTGAAATTCTAAAGATATACTGTTTTTAAATACTTTTAGTCCAAAGTGGAGTTAGCCCAAATGCTTTCGAAACGTGTATGTGGCTGTAAATGAAAAAACATCCATTTAAGCCTAATATAAACTTGGAACCTTTCAGATTTTTTATTAAATATTCTCGCAATAATGAACGCAAATCATTGCTTAGAGGTTTATTGAAATTTTCCATAATTGCTAACTACCGTAATTCAATGATGAACAATACATTTTCAAATTTACATGGATTAAGGTTCTTTTCAAAGCAAAGCGTTCACATTATAGGTACTTTTTTTCTCTCTGCTGTCGTGTCCACGGAAAGACTGGATTGAAATTGAGAGCAATTATTTTTAGTTCCTTTGTCTAAAATACACATTGAGAATATGATGGAATTGAAAAATGGATATAAAAATTAATAATATGATAGAATTGACAAAATGAATGTAAAAATCGATAATATGAGCATCACAGAAAGAATGAAAATCGTTTAAGTAAATGTAGATAAGATCTTATCTTATGCAAAAGTGGGCGTATTAACTATAGGTGTCTAATGCTACTTAAAACAGAGTCACTAGATAGAAAGAAAATAAATATTTGTGTATTCCTGAAGCTGGAGGATTTGCTAAAAATTCCTAAATATTTTTGAGCAAAAGGAGTGGATTAGTTAATCCACTCCTTTTTAATCCACTCCTTTGCTAAAAAGTAACTAACCTCCACTAAAAAGTAACAATTACGAAAATTCCAAGTGATTGAAAAACCGTTTTTATTTACTTTGAGTTGCAATTTCACATATGAAAGATAACTGGCGTTATAACAAAATAATTTTGCTGTTGTAAACATATATCAAAGACCACCAACTTACTAATAGTATCTAAGTCAGACAAACTGGGTGTCTTGAACAACACAATGACAAAATTTTCAAAGAAATTTTTTTAAAGAAAACTTAAACACAAATCATTTATAGGAATTAATTATTTAAGCAGTTGAAATGTAAGAAATTGCATTAAATATACGTCTTGGGAAATCAATCTTATCTTTGCTTGTTAAAAACATTATATATATTATTCAGTGACTAACTTAAGTTATGATTTAAATTTATTTTATTTTTTCAGGCTCTTTCTATTTTGTATGGAATGTTTTGCTTGACACGAGCTGAGGATAGCAGAAATCATCCAAACCACAGAAACACAATGCTTACCATGAAAGATATAACTGATCACTGGATTGGATTACCAAAATCACCTTATACTCACTTCACAGCTACTATGAGTCCTCCAACGTCTTCCACTGCTGCACCAACATCTGCTCCTGTGAGTGCGAAGAAACCTACCACCATAAAAAAGAAGAAAAGGCGTAAAAGTTCTGAAAGCTCTAAACGCCGAACGACTGATCCCAGTGAGCCTCTTTACTACAGAGACAACTATTACAGAGAAAGAGCAAAGTTCGCCTTTCCCGATTTTGATTACGATTACGATTCTCCCAACTCAGCTTATTCTAATCCCCCACCACCACCACCATCATCCTCCTCACCTTATATTATCAGAGCCACAGCTTCGTCGCCAAAGGCAATATATCTGAACCCTTCTGAAACAGATTCGTCAATAAGCGCAGTGTATGCTGGAACACCAAAGGTGGCAACATATGTCATACCCTCTGCAAAAAAATATGTGGTGCGCAGGGTTAAATCACGTGCAGTATATGTACCACCTCCAGCACCAATAGGTGGGGATCTATATGCAGCTGCTTCAAGTGCTGGACTACGAAGACTTGATCCTGGAGATTACGATGAGAATAGTGCATCATTCCTTAACATGGGTCCACAAGAAGGATTTCCACCAAGACCAGTTATGAATAAAATATCTCAACCGGGACAGAGACAACCTTGCCACGGACCAGAATGTCATCAGCATCATAAAGGGCTAGTACGGTTTTACTGGAGAAGGGTCGTATATCCGCCTGATGAAGGAAGAAGAATAAGAGGACGAGGACGCAGATTACGCCGACCTAGAACTAGACCACGTGGAAGAAGAGTTCGTGTTCGATCTAGAGCTCCATCGGATCAGAGAGAAATGTACACATCTGAAGAGGATGGTGTCGCGGAAGGAGCTGAAGATAATAACACGTACGAAAATGAGGAGGACGAAGAAGAAGTTAGTGACGAAGAAGAAACTGAAGAGAATGACACTGTGCAACAGAATATGTGGCAACCTGGAAGAGGATATGGTCACAATTTGAGTGAAGGAAGTAACTATGATGATGACGACAGAAGAGTATACAGGGACAAAAGATATGCATACAGGAAGAAAACGAATCGGAATTTCTACCAATATTCATGACATTTTGAATAATCAGATTTATTTTATTTTTTTCATCTTTCATCACACTATTTAATATTTAAATTTCCATCCAACTGAAAAATCTGGTTGGTACATACTTGGATGTCAGACGAATTACATCATTAATTTATAAAATGTGAGTAAAGAAACGCAAAGAATGAAGCTTGTTATTATTTGGTAATAAAACTCATGCTATTATTGTAATGCTTCTGGTTTGAAATCTTTAAAATGTTTCAGAAATATCATAATGTTTTAGAACCATCGCCTAGTAAAATCTGGAAGGGATATAATGTTTTAATTAGACATGAAACTATCATGGCATGTAGATAATAAAACCGAAAGCTTGTCGAAATTATTATGCTTCTGGAACAAGATGAAACCTAAAGTGTGACCTTGCCCAGAATTGAACTTCGTTTCTTCCACTTATCTGTCAGATAATAAGATATGCTAACCATTTAGACCACAAATGACATTTATCCATAACGAGTAAATATGGAGAAATGCGATTATCCTTTATATTCTTACCCACTTGAAAAGTCATGAGATGCAATCGATCAGATCCGAATGGTGATGAGTTATAATTCACAGCAAAGTAGTTCGGAGGCCACAAAACAGTGGGTATAATTTATTAGGTACTTTAAATTAGGAAACAAGGAAAATACAGCTGTTTTGTGTCAAAGGTTGGAGTCACGGATCTTCTCAAATGTCAGCTGGATATGATCTGATTTGTTACAAAAGAGTACGCAATGAGGAACTAGGTAATATCTTACAAACTATACCCAGATAATATTACTCAGAACTAAAGTAAAGCTCATTTAGTTATTACGATTAAACTAAGCCAGTAATATTCCAAAAATGTATCGAATGTTTATTTAAGTTTTGTATACCAAGGACAGTTGAATGGCATTAGTAATTCCTCATGACGCTGTATTGAGGTATTCGAAACCCAAATAAATAAATCGTTATATGGAAATACGAAGCGTAATTCGGTTAAAATTAATCAGCAATGAAACTTAAAATTCAAAAACACAAGCACAGATTCATTTTAAAATTCGAATAAATGATTAAAACCAATACATAAAATACAGGAGCTCAGAGAAATTTATTATGCGATACGTATAATTTAATAAACGCTGAATTATTTGTAACTGTAGATAATGTTTCAAATAAAAAGTGCGTACCTACTCTAATGTAATTTTCGAATGAAACACCTTCCAAACGTGGAAGATATTAAGACATTATTCACAGTTTTTTGTAGTTTAAATATGTCTGAGGTGAAATTTCTTACCATTAATTTCGTCTAAAATCTGATGCGAATATGCATAAATGACTGAAATATTTTGCAGCTTCACATCATGAAATATGGGTTATACTAAATTAAAAGAAAGGAATAAAGAGAGGTTATATTTTAACTATGAAACTTTATGATGGGATTTAGCATTTTTTACAGTTATTTTAATTACGTTATTGATATATTGTTATACGTGAAATTCTAGGCCTTCGGTCTTTCCTTTTGGTAACAAAATCTATTGCATACTCTAAGTTACAAACACTGAATTTTCATTATTCGGCCTATCATTACGCGTTTTCATTATTAAACCTATTTGAAAATGTATTTCTAGTTTGGGCGCAGGCTACGTGAGTCGAGGTATTCGAATAACTTGAAATAGCTAATTTTGGTGAAAGAGATATTTTTGCTTTTATTGTTTTTATAAATACAAAATAAAAACAATAACAATGTCAATAAAAAACTGCAAGATTTCAGATTTTGCATTATGCCCAAAGGGGCGTTTGTTTAACTTTTTGTGTGTTACCTTTACTTATTAACTATCATGTTCTTCGTACTTAAACCACATAAAATTCAATTCAACAGCAATATCACACAATATTTAAAAACAACATATCCTTAGCATTTCTGATAGACAGACTCGCGCGTTAGAGATAAAAATGTTTTTTTTTTTTTTTTTTTTTTTTTTTTTTTTTTTTTTTTTCCGTACAGTACAGCCATTGCTCGCTTTTAAATCGTTGAGTTTGTTAATCAAAAATTCGTTAAAGTTTTACAAAATATGAAATACATAATAAAACAACTTCGAAATTCAAAATTCGGGCTGACAGGTCCTCATGTTCGGGTGGAAGATTATGCAATTCAAAATTCGATGGCTCTAGATACCGTCGCTTTTTCACAATGAGTAAAACATACATTACATTCATGCATACTCCTCATTATTTTATTTCTTCAAACATAATACAATGCGATAATATTTGATGGCAACATTTTGAAAAATGATTCATACTTTTAGAGTGATTCAACGCAAAATGCTGTTTCGAAACTAATAGATGTATATTATTTATAAATATTATGTATTATGTCTTGAAAAATATTGTGTCTAAACAGACACAGTTTTAAGGAAAAAATATTTGGTCGCTGAGGTTCGGTCTTTGGACAAAGTGCATTTTTAAATTACTAGGTAACAAAACCTCAGCATTTTTGTTGACATAAATATTTCATGATTAATATATATTAAGGCTTTTCATTTGGCACATGCACCAATCACAGTTTCATTACTGACAGTTGCTAATATTTAACTTACCTGAAATTATCTCACATATTTAACACTGAATGTTTTAAATAAAAATAAAAAGATGGCAGCACGAGCAGAACCCAAGTTAATGCTTGAACTATCTAACAAATAAATATATAAATAAAAAAGCTGTCGTGACGTAAAAATGAACAAAAGTGTAGTTTCTTCAAGTCCATGCTTCAGTGATTAAAGACACTCCATGCGCAGTAGACCTTTTTCACAAAACACGAAACTGGGTTTCTCATGCAATGGTTGACAATTTTTCATAAAGTATGTTTTTTGCGTTTAGTTGAAAGTATTAATCATGAGTAAGAAAGAATGAAAAGACATTATCTATATTCACAATACAAACGCTGGACTGAATGATTTAAATCAATTTATATACTGTAATTTTCGTTAAAAAAGAGATTTAAAATTATATTTTATGAAGAAGAAAATTACTTTTCACTATTATAAAAAATGTTAGAGTTAATATGTAGATAGCAAAAAAAAAAAAAAAAAAAAAATTACCGAACATAGCCAGACATCTTTAGGGCAGTTATTGTAAAAGTTTGTAGTAAAAACATAATTTCTTCTGCAACTATTAAGACTTACCGAGTAACAAACGAACTATGAATGGCTTTTAGTCTTAGTATTTAGTGTCCCAGTTGTTTTTTTCGTAAGCTTTACTCTTTAAAATAACCGAAGTTATATTTTTATTTTAAAAATTTCTGATGTGGACACCACATGACTTCCTTGTACGGCCTATTAAATTATACACATTTTTTGCTGCATTTTATTTAAACTTATTTCCTCGAATTCCATTAGAAATATATTTCTCATTCAATTCATTCAGTTCTCACTTCGCGGAAAAGCAAAAATACATAAAAACAAAAAATGTCTTTGTTCAATAAATTGAAAATATAGAAAAGCATAAAACACCAAAAACAGTTAAAAAGGTTTAAAAAACAGTTTTTACAATTAAAATTAGAGTTTCAACTCAAAAATAGGCAATTTAGTCAGCGAGCAAGAAGGCCGACCTTTCGGTACACAAAATTCGGTGAACTAAACTACTCTGTTAGGCTTAGTCCCCATTAAACAGCTTTTAAATTGTTGATAATTCTACACTATTGCATGTAGATTAACTAAGGGCATAAAAACCTTAATCAGAACTTAAGAACAACAGAATTCAATCACTTTATAAAGCAAAAAATGCACGATTTACCAAAATATAAGAATAAAATGGGTGTATATATGTATATATACTTTTGGTGCGGCCGGTTTGCAACCAACTACATGGTATAGTAGTCCCATATGCAAAATTTCTACGCTCTGAGTTAAGCGAGATACGTACATATGTACGTAGGTATGTACCTACAGACTCCACGAAAAAAATATCTTCTGAATCCATTTTAAATCCATTTCACAATCGGTTTTAGGAAAAATGCGTCCTTTATTCTGTCCATACATACAGATGTTACGCAAAAACATCTTTAAATTGTCTTCAATAGCAGTCAAAATGGACATTTTCTTTAAAATATGATATCTGAAAATTTTCGCGATTACTTCAATACTTCCTTTACAAGGAATTAAAAAATTCGTAATATGTATCAAACATATATAAAGATTAATATGCTGTTTTATAAAAGCATTTACTTTAATTATAAAACTTTCGATATGTTGGTTCTATTCAATATGATTCTCACACACATGGGGAAAACTGCGAAAACGCCCTTTCGTCGGGTTCGAGCTCCCGATTGAGATACTACTGTTCAGCGACTTAACCGCTCGGCCGCTCGTGGGTACGATAGAATGAATAAATTGGGGCTTTGTCATTGTATACTTGTATGTCAGGAATGGGTAATATGAGAGAATGAGGTATAGTCAGTAAATTTAGTTTGCTACCCGACAGCTAGTGGTGTTTCAATATTCTGAATTTTCCGAGTTTGCGGTTAAGATTAAAAGTAAGTTATTTAGCAGTTAATTCAACATATTCTGATTTTATGAAACAAATATCAGTCTAAGATTTAATATTTAGCTGTCAAGGAGTTTGAAGTACAAAGTATAACGAATAGAAATATTACACAAGTACCAAAATTCAGACTTCAAGCAGAAAATAAATGTAAATTTGATTTTTTTCATTCATTTTTCTTATGTATATTTTGATAAATGCCAACAACTGCAGAAAAATTTAAAATTTGCCATTATTATTATGGTAGATTTTTGTTTCGTTAAAAATATTCTAAAATTTGAGAAAAAATATTTTGTAACGTCAACTGCTTTCACGTCGAGCATTCGACCTGCATGCAGTATGAGTTTGAAACCATTTTCAAGCTAAGACATCGAGTTAAAAAAGTGTGTAATCTGTATAAAATGACTCGTAATAATGTAGGAATGTAAGCTTAGCATTTCAGGCCTTCTCATTTTAACTATATATGCTTGTAGCCAATGAAACGTAGTGATGAAAGATTTCAGTTAGAGAATACGTAACAGCAAAGAATACACGAGACTGGAAACACTGACCAAATGTAATATACAAAACTGCAGCAGCAAATGGAATCATATCCACATCTGGCTACTTGTAAAATATCAAAAAGAAATTGATGTATAATAGTAATAATTCAGATGTAGTTGGTCATCTTT